CTGACTCCCCTCCATCCCCCCCTGCTTTGCTGGAAAGCCGCCCAGATCTCCGCTCTGTTTACATTCAACGTCTCTGCTGAAAAAGACAGGAAGAACCTCTCCTAGTTGGTCAATAAATCCCCTACAATTAGCGGTAATTACTAACGCAAACACAGAGATAACCTTGCAGCCTGGCACCAGGCAGGGATGCCCGCTGGCCCAGCTCCGGCTGAAGCGGGGGCTGGCAGGGATGAGACCCAGGGGAGGCTCTCCCGGCCCCGGCCAGAGCATCCCCGAGGCGAGTGGCTCGGCCTTGGGTACCACCTTTTTTCACCCGCCGGCATCGCCCGTGTCCCTGGCCGAAGGATGGCACCCGGCCGGGCTCCACGCCCTGCCATGCGTCACTCACACACCGCCCTTGTTTGAACTGCCTGGGGATGTTTGCAGGAGGATGTAGGACGTGGGGACGTGGGAACAGCCTGCGGCCAGGGGCTGGCAGGTGCCATCAGATAGCAGTGGGGTTACTGGGCCCCCACGCCCGGCGGTGACGCAGGGCTTTGTCACTCTGCGTCCCTCCAGGAGGAAGGGGCAGGTCCTGCAAGCAGAAGCCCCCCAGTGCCCCTGCCCCGCGCAGGGAACCTGCAGCCTTGGTCCTGGGGAGGCTGCTGCTGCCATGGGGCTGCAGAAGGGGGCTGCCACGGACCCCAGCAGCCAGAGCTCTTCAGCACGGTCAGGCACAGCCTTCTCCTTCTTGGTGCTCACTCCTCACCATGGGGTGTCTTCTTGCACTGGTGGGAAGCAGCTAAAGCTCATCTGCCTTACTGCTTCGATCACGCTGCTCTGGAGCATCGCTTTGTAGGCTCATAGCGTACCAAAGCAGCTTTGAAAGTTCTTCCCACTGCCTGTCCTGTGGCTTTCTGCAAAGCTGCCAGCTCCTGCCCAGCGCCCTGCTGCTGCCAGCTACAGCCAATGCCCGGCCCTCCTTCCCCCAGTCCTCTTGAAGACCCTTGGAGGAGGCCACTGGGAGCTGCCCAGGAGGTAGCTACCTGCAGAAGCTCCAGCCCCAGAGCCAAGTCCCTCATCTCCCAACACGGAGGGCTTGTAAGCTGGCTGAAACTGCTAACTTCTGGCTGTCAGGCTCGAGCCATGTCCTCCAGCCCTCAGGAGGACAGGCAAATGTGGCAGCATTTGCCGAAACGCGCAGTGAGTGGTGCGGCGCCCACAGGGAGCAGCTCCCCGCCAGCGTGCAGAGGCAGGTCTCGCTTTCACCCTGGGGAGGGAGGAGGATCAGATCTGTCTCCTTCGCCCACACAGCCGGGATACAGCTGCTGCTGCTTCCCCGAGACCTCTCAGGGCTTGGTCAGCTTGCTTAGGCACCCTCTGGGATCAAGGGGGTAAAGCTTTCTTCTGTCCAAACACATCTGCTGCCTGCTATCACTTCTCCTGAAAGGAAACAACCTTAGAGAGGAGATCAGCCACTCTGACTAATGGGGAAACTCTTCAAACACAGCAACACGTTCCCCCCTGCCCCGAGAAGACAGGACTCCACCCTTGTTTTATGAAAAACCATGAAAACGTTCTCCAAAGGAGCCTGAGGCTACTCCATCACTCCTCGGTTAGATAAGGGACACCCCAGCTCCCTGCCTGGCTGGTTCAATTAAGCTTACTTGCATGCAACACAAGTTTTCACAAGCCCCTTGTCATCCCGGGCAGGGGAAGAGGCATGCGCCGTCCCCAAGGAGACGCAGTTTCAAGTCTCAGCCTGAGCACCAGCAAACTCACCACAGCCGTGCCAGAGACACAGCAGAGCTGGCTAAACTTTGGCACAGATGCGCAACCTGCGGGAGAACATGGATGAAAGCCTCCCGGAGGTTTATACTTGCCAAGCTGGCTCTACGAGAAGATAAAGGAGCTGTGCTGTTTGAATATTAAACCCTTAAAATGCCCCCAGCAGCTTTATCCCTGCTAGGCATCATAATTCAGCTATCGGCTCCATCCAAGTCCGCGGTGAGAGCTGGAAACGGGCCAGGTGAGCACCAGTGGAGCCCAAGGCTTCAGCAGCACCTCCCTGCTCAAAATAGAGGAAGGCAGCAGCCATTGCCAATTAATTCTGTAATGGTTCAAATCAAACTTTTCAAGTCTGAAAACAGCACGGAGGAGCCATGATTCCCTGTTTCAGAGGCTGGAGAATTGCACATCTTCACGCACCAGCTGCCAAGCCCAAGCCAGGGAGGCAGCCTCGGCTTCAGGGATGAGGGTCCTCCTCCCAGCTGGAAGAACAGTGAACAGCCCAGGGAAGGAAGCAGGACGCGAAAGGGCATGCAAATCCACAGCTCCACTAACCACCGCCTGACCCACGCTTGCTCACAACCTTTCTAAAAGCCACACAAAAGGCCCAGCCCTTCTCCACCTCCCGGATGCCCAGGCAAGCGAGAGCTCTTATTGAAAGCACCTCAAAAAGGCCCCATCCCAGTCCCTCCTTGTCCTTCCCAGTATGCCCAGCTGCTTGGCTGCTGGTGACCGTCGCCCTTCTCAGCTAATCCTCCAGAATCCTCCTGCTACACCTGAGCGACGCTGCTTTCGGCTCCCTTGGATGGAGCTAAGCGTCGGGGTTTGTGCACTGCTGAGCCACAGCACAGGGCACCCTTGATTCCCAAAAGCTCGCTCCTGACATGGACCGCAGAGGTCCCTAACGAGCCCTCCTTTGCCAGGGGTCTGAACAGCTCCCGAACACCAATGACTCCTTTATAAATCCAGTGGCTGTGCCGAGATCGCCGGGAAGGCAAACGAAAACAGCAGCACACAGACGTTGGGCACATACTCTTTATTCCGGGGATAAAAATTGCTTATACATTTTGCAGCAACTATTTTCATAAAAGACTTTTATAAAAAATGTAAAAACAAGCAAATATTTTCCATTATTAATATAGGAAAATGCTGCTGTGTGAATGGTTACTCTACAACTTATGAGATAAAATACCACCTTAAGGAGATATTATCTTTACAAGTAGTTAAAAAAAAAAAAAACAAAAACAAAACCAAAACAAAAAGAAAGGCAGAGGGCCATCGTATTAACAGGCCAGGCACGAAACTGGCTTCATTCCACAGAAAACACTCATCTTGTAAAAGGTAGCCACATATATAAAAAGGCACTTGGTTATTTGGGGCTAACGAGGAAAAGCCCTTTGTTTCTTTAGCATCGATGTAGCAACACTTCATTATTTGCAGTGAAACATGTACCTGGACAGACCTCCAGGAGCTCGCAGGCTCCTGCCTGGAGATCTGAGTCGGCTGCAGCTAAACTTCACAGGACACACTGCAGCGAGCGTGCCAGGGAACGCTGTGTGCGTCGTAAAAAGCAGTAACTTCAAGAATTAAAAACTTCAGCCCAAAACAATGGCCCCGGGAACCAGCTCCTCCTGAGGCCCTGCCTTCATGTACCATTGAGTCAAATCGAAAAAAAAAAAAAGCTTTTACTCTTGATTAGAATGGAAAGGAACATAGGAGAAAATACTGTACATGGTAGGATGCTGAATGGCCGCTGCTCGGAGGGGAACGGCCTTCTCTGTCCTTTGGCGGCAGCCGACAGCCCCGATCTCTTTGGAACACGCGCCTGCAGGGTTCCCCCGAAGAGGTAGGAGCAAACCATCCCCAGAAATGTTCACTTTGGCTGCTGACTGATTCAGAGCCCTCCAGGGAAGCATTACTCTTGTGGACAAAGCAGAAAGAGCGGCTGTTTGTCGAAGGTCAGCGACAGCTGGCTTCCTTAACTCCAAAAATATCGGGGGAGCTGCAGTACAAATGGCACTACCGTCCCACAGAGCACGTGGGGCACCTCAGTTGGGAAATCTCGGTACAGGCTGAAGCTGAGAGCAGAGGACAGCCCCAAACCTGTTAACCAAACCGCATTGGGCAACAGTTTCTGAGCTATTTGGTCTGCCGCTTAAGGCCGGCTCCTGGTGTCAGGCACGCTGCTGCTGCTGGAAGCCGGCTCAGGAGCCAGTGCTGCAGCCTCCTCGT